ACACTAACATCATCATTTTAAAATAAACAAAGTAGCAAAGATTTTAATTTACTTGATTTGTTCATCCACAGAACTTGTTATAACCAAAATGAATCAGGGGGCACCTGGGTGGTCCAGTCAGGTAAGCATCTAACTTGGCTCAGGTCATGATTTCATTGTTTGTGAGTTCAAGCCCCAATTGGACTCTCTACTGTCAACTTGGAGCCAGCTTTGGATCCTCTGTCTCCCTCTTTCTCTGCCCCTCCCCTGTTCATGGGCTCTCTTTCTCTCTCTCTTTCTCAAAAATAAATAAACATTAAACAAACAAATAAAAAACCCCAAATGAATCAGAATCTGAATCCTGGTCTCTTCAAGTGGAGGCCATCATAGTTCACTGAATTCAAAGAACTCAGAGAAGATAAATCCACTAAAGATTTGATATGGGTGGAATCACTGTGAAATTATTTTATTCTATTTTTAAGGTTTATTTATTTATTTTGAGAGAGAGTGGGGAAGGGATAGAGAGCAAGGGAGAATGAGAATCCCAAGCAGGCTCTGCACTGTCAGGGCAAAGCCCGACGTGGGGCTTAATCCCATGACCTGAATCGAAATCAAGAGTCCGACGCTTAACTAACTGAGCTACCAGGTACCCCTATGGAATTATTTTGTAAAACTTTTTAGTGATGGAACAACATTTGTTTTCATAGGTAAGTAACAGAAGATGGCAATTTTTTCAAGATAAAAGAAAGAAGGCAAGAAACAATCAAATTGGAATAATATTTAAGAATGTTTAGAAAAAAGAGGATTGGGATGGGGCTTAGATGTGGAAATCTTAGGAGAGATTTTAATATCAATTCTTATGGTAAAGGTCAGCATAGACAACATTGTGCAAATACTGTAATAGCGTCTGACTTTGTGTCCATGTGGACTATAATAAAATGCTCACATACAACATGTGTAATTGTCATGAAAGCCCATTTGGCCCAAGAATGAAGTTGATCATGGGGCGCCTGGGTGGCGCAGTCAGTTAAGTGTCCGACTTCAACCAGGTCACGATCTTGCGGTCCGTGAGTTCGAGCCCCGCGCCAGGCTCTGGGCTGATGGCTCAGAGCCTGGAGCCTGTTTCCGATTCTGTGTCTCCCTCTCTCTGCCCCTCCCCCGTTCATGCTCTGTCTCTCTCTGTCCCAAAAATAAATAAACGTTGAAAAAAAATTTTTTTTAAAAGAATGAAGTTGATCATGTTAGGTAAGTTTTGTGAGTTGACACATTTCCTTTTCTGATGGTGAAATGTTGCTGTCGGAGAGCTTGGGCTTTGGACTCCGGCTGACCTAGAGGTCTGTTTCCACCACTTGCTGCATATGTGAACTTGGGTGACTATCTTCTGGCCTCAGTTTCCTAATCCATAAGATGGGATAACAATATGTATTTAGAAGGGGTAGACCAGAATTAAATGAGACTGTGAGTAAAATATTTGGCACATTGTCTGTGAGACATGTGCCAATAGGTACGAGATAGAGGTTGCCCCATTTTGAACCTAAAGGGAGAATTGTATCCAGTATGGAGGATGGTCTGTAGCCAATCATCCTGACAGAGAAGAAATTTGCCAGGGGCCCCAGCTGTACATTTTATTGCTCCAATGGAAATTTAGCTTAGCATCCACCAATACATGAAAGACTTGAATTTAGAGGTGTTTGTGTCTTTTTAGTGGACTTTTTCCTCTTTTAGCAACAAAAATGAAATTAAGACGTATTTTTTTTGTATTTTTGTAGTTGTTTTATATACGTTAAATTTACCCTTTACCTTAATTGGTATCATCTCTAACACAAACAAGTGTGGGCCTCATGCTTGTATTTATTAGAAAAACAATTAAAGATTGAAAACTATTAAATTAAAAAATTAAAATTAAAAAAATTAAAAAAAATTAAAAACTATTAAATTAAAAAACTATTAAATTAAAAAAAATAATTAGAATGTACTGAGAAATAGAGTTACAGTATGTACTTCTTTTTTCTAATATATGAAATTTATTGTCAAATTGGTTTCCATACAACACCCAGTGCTCATCCCAAAAGGTGCCCTCCTCAATACCCATCACCCACCCTCCCCTCCCTCCCACCCCCCATCAACCCACAGTTTGTTCTCAGTTTTTAAGAGTCTCTTATGCTTTGGCTCTTTCTACAGTTTGTACTTTTAAATACTTAGAAATGTCATCAATTTGAAATTCATATTTGCATATGAAATATGTATAATTATTTAATAAAAGAATAATGAGAAGACTAAAATAGAGAAAGTTTGAATCAATATTAATATAAAGGTTTGAAATAACACACTGATATGTGGTGGGTATTTGGTAAATTTATATAGAATTCGTATAGCTTCATCTTCACAAAATACGTACAACATAGGCAACTCACCTGAACTCTTTTGATTATGAATGTATATAAATGTATTGGACAAGTTTATTTATTGTGCAAACTAGTTTCTATTTTATGCATCATGACAATGATTTTGGCCACAAAAAACACTGTTAGTAAGTTTAAAAAAGAATGTTGAAAGAAAAGACATGTCATACAATTATGGAAAATATGAGCACTAACCATATATAATCAAGTACACTATTTAAGGCTCAATTAACTATCACATTGATAACGTTATGGAAGTTCAAGATTCCTTCTATCCTGAAAAGAATGAAACTTCAAGAATCTAGCTCAGGAAAAGGGAAAGGAGGTAAGCGTCATGTCTTACCATCCAGAAATTTTCTTAACTATGATTATCAGAAGTATTCCTAAAGAGCCCAAAGTTCCTGTTATGAAAACTGGAATCTTTAATGTACTGACTGAAGGCGAAAATCATGACAATATCATGTACAATTAGAAATTAATCTTTTTTAGATTCAAAGGGGCACATGCACCCCAATGTTTATAGCATCATTACTGACAATAGCTTTTAAACTATGGAGAGAGCCCAAAAGTCCATTGACTGATGAAAAATAAAGATGTGGTAT